GGGAGATGGGACGGACGCCTTCTGCAGCACCCTGCCAGCCAAAACAGGCTGCAGGGGCCCACATGCGGCCCCCTCTGCCCCATTTAGGCCTGAACGGCTTCCTCAAGTACGGGGGGGGGCACACCTCATTTTCGCCCTTCATGGCCTCCTGCAGCACTCTGCTGGCCGAAAACAGGTTTTTGGCCAGCAGAGTGCTGCAGGAAGCTTGGGAGGCTGAAAATAGGCTGCTGGGGGCCACCCATGGCCAGCAGAGGCATCACGGACAGATCCTTTGATATTTCCAGCGGCCCCACAGGCTGGATTTAAGCACACCACGGGCTGGATCCAGCCCACGGGCCTTGAGTTTGACACCTTTAGTCTAGGTCCTTCCCAGAAATCTTAGCTTAAAAGATTTTGAAGGTAATTTAATCACAAATCCATGCCAAATAGATTCCCGAATACTGGAGTTGATTGAATCAAATTTTCCTCACTGGCAGGAAGTGCATAGGCAACGAACTATCTGACTGAGAAATAAGGATACATCCAAAATGAAATGAATTCTTTTTTTCCCCCAGAAGAATGTATAGAATGTATCTTTAAGATGTTTCTTCAAAAAAATTTTTTTTAAAATAAGGTTTTTAATCTTTCATTTGTGGTTGAAAAAAAGAAAAGAAAATGAATACTGGCTCCAATTGGCATATGTGTCAATTAACTGTAGTGCCCTAAATATGAGAGGTAAATAGGGACATGTATATAAGGCAGAATTTAGTTTATGCTTCTTGGCACGAAGTTCTTTCAATAGCTACATCTGTGTTACAACAAATTAACCCTGACTCCATTACTCCTTCTTGCAACCTTTTAACTTTCCTTTTACTAATTCAGTGATTGGGAGTTCCATTTCTTGCATCTGACTCAAAGCCATAAACTTGTTAAGGGGTCATTTAGGCCAATGAGCCCTGTCCTTGTTCAGTGCAAGAATTCAGCTTCAAACCTGCCTGTGATGGATGCCTTTTTAACCTCTATAAGAAAACATACACTAAGGGAAGCCTGGCTCCTTCTCCTTCTCTGAATAATTGATTCCACAGTCAAACTGTGTTGCTAGGATATTCCCTCCTGCCCTCCACGTTCAATGGAGTCTGCCTTCCTGTAACTTAAATCCACTGTAACATGTCCTGCACTCTGAAATGTTAGAGATTAGATCTTGACCGTGTTCTATGTGACATCTTTTCAGCTATCTGCCAGGGCTATCAGATACCACCTCAGTCTTTTTCCTCTTGAGGTTAAACATTCCGAGTTTTTAAAATCTCCCTTTATAGAATGTACTTTCTAGTCTCTTGATTGTCCCCATTGCCTTGTTCTGAATATATTCCACCTTGTCAGAATTGTTCTTCAAATGTGGTAGCTAGAACTGGATAGAGTATTCAAGGATCTGGTCGATGCAAAGTAAAATTGAGTAATTGCTTTCTGTGATTTGGGAAATATATGTTCAACAGATGAGAACATATCGCTCAAAGTTGAACTAGGGCTTTTTAAGCTTGATTGTATTTTCGTGGACATTTCATTACCCTTCCTTTGGTTAAATAATACAGTTTAATACTAAACCATTGATGAGCAGTCATTGATTATGATTTTCAGGCCAGCTGTTTATCAGCTTTTACCAACTAGCTGATAGCAATAGCACTAAGACTTATATACTTTATAAGTCTGATTATTCTGATTAAAGAAAAGTCTTTATCTAACTTGGTTTCTACTTGAAAATCACTATTGAAAACTTGAAAACCATTCTTGCTAGAAAATAGCAATAGCACTTAGATTTATATACTGCTTTACAGTCCTAAGTGGTTTACAGTCAGCATATTGCCCCCAACAATCTGGGTCCTTATTTAACTGACCTCAGAAAGATGCAAGGCTGATATTTAATTAGTTTGCTAATCAAAATATTATGAAGCATTTTGGAAAAAACTTTGTCTAACATATTAAGTTACAGCACTGTAACATTTTAAGATAGTTATCTAATTAAGAGATAGGATTCATCATTAAAACTTCACAAATTCATAGTCTATTGCTTACAAATCAATCTCTTTATGATATGCACTAGCACTTCCCAAGTGTCAGTGTCAGAATGATTTGTCTATCTCCTCTTTTTGAAGATAAAAAGAATTTTGTCTTCTTCTTCTTGATTATTTTACCCACTTATCTTATTTTATCCACTGTCTTGGATTTTTCAAAGACATTACATAAAGATTTGGCTAAACCACAGCGGGTGGGTAAAACCAGTTTGTGTTCCAGTTGAATGAATGACCTAAAACTATGTAATAAAACTTCTTACAGGAAACCAATCAGGTTGCCAAGGTGGAAGATCCCCTAAGAAAGGCATTTATGTTATTCTTATAAGAAAAGCAGGATATGTGTGACTAGATGATCCTGCACAGCTTCTCGGACGATTGTCATATTGCCTAATTTATTGTGTTGAATCCCCCCTCCTCATTTTTGTGTATGTGTTTAGGAATGGATGCTGCCTGGGTTTTTTTTGTTTTCTTCCTTGAAAAAAGATATTTTGCAGTTATTTACAATGTGTAACTTGGCAGAATTTAAGTGAACCTTGCCTGATCTTGGAAGCTATGAAGAGTTCCCTTGGTTAATACTTGGATGTGGAACAACCTGAAATCCAAGTTTTTGCTACACCAGGAAGTAAAAGAATCTCAGAACATAATAACTTGTCTTGCTGCCAAAATGTAGTTCCTTGGAGCTAAGCTCAATTCCATGGAGACTTTTCTTAGTCACCCCATGTTAATCAAGCTGTCATGCTGCTCATATTCTCACATTTTGAAATGGGCTCAAGAACTCAAATATGTGGCAAACTTTCCATTAACAGAAAGGTACTTTGACTTTGGAAAGTTAGCTAAAGAGTTCTAAACAAAAACAAAGCAGAAATCATGAAGTATGAAGCATGCACCATTCAAACTTCCATTGTCCTATGTGCCCTTAGTTATTTTTCCCCCCCAAATAAAATACAGAACTTAAAGTAAAAATTGTATTAAGTGCCAAAAGACAATACATTCAGTATCCTTATACTTCACTAATACAATGGATGCCACCACAGTGATCAGATTCCACTCTCAGGAACAAGGCATTCCAAGAAAGAACATGTAGCATTAGTCCAAGTTGAGCAGGGTCTTCCTTCCACTTCTAATTCAGCTGGCCTAGCCATTAAACGAATGTGAGCCTTCCCTTTCTTGGCAGGGAAACCCTTGTCCTACCATTAATGATGCAAGAGCTTTTGTCCTACTTTCCCACAAAAGTATTTAGTGTTAGAAGCGTGCCATAAAGATTTTCACCTCTTCTGAGGGGAAAAGCAGTCATAAGGCCAATTATGCAACAGCCTCTTCTTAGACAATTTGCTTTCCTGATTTTTAATCTGCTCAGCCGTCCTTCAAGTCTTATCTGTGCTACCCACAGTGGTTAAACAGTTACAGATTAGCACCAGAGCTGTAACCTACCTGTTCCAGGATTCATTACGTTTTTTCAGGCAGATATATTAAACAGCCTGTACCTGGAGTGGATATATCTTGTATTTATTTATTTATTTATTTTATTACATTTCTATATCGCCCTTCTCCCGAAGGACTCAGGGCGGTGTACAGCCATATTAAAACAAACCCATCACAAAAATTAAGGCAATTTGGCCGTTATTTAAAACCCTTAGCTAAAATCCCTTTAAAACCAATTAAAACCCATTAACATTAATTTATTCGGTCAGGCCGGCTTGATTGAACAATAGTCTTCAGAGCACGACGGAAGGCGCGGAGGTCGGGGATCCTTCTTATATCTGGGGGCAGCTCATTCTATAGGGCAGGAGCCCCACAGAGAAGGCTCTCCTCCTGGGGGTCGCCAGCCGACATTGCTTGGCCGGCGGCACTCTGAGGAGGCCCTCTCTGAGAGCATATCGGACGGTGGGAGGCATTCGGTGGTAGAAGGCGGTCCTGTAGGTATCCCGGTCCTAAGCCATGGAGCGCTTTGAAGATGGTGACAAGCACGTTGAAATGCACCCGGAAGACCACTGGGAGCCAGTGCAGCTTGCACAAGAGAGGTGTTACCCAGGAGCGACGAGTCGCTCCCATAACCACTCGCGCAGCCGCATTCTGAACCAGTTGGAGCCTCCGGGTGCTCCTCAAGGGGAGCCCCATGTAGAGAGCGTTACAGTAGTCCAGACAGGAAGTGACAAGGGCATGAGTGACCATGCGTAAGGCGTCCCGATCCAGAAAGGGACGCAACTGGGAAATCAGGCAAACCTGATAGAAAGTCCCCCTGGCCATGGCCGTCATATGATCGTCTAAAGACAGCCGCGTATCCAGGAGGACGCCCAAGTTGCGAGCCCTCTCTGAGGGGGACAAGATCTCCTCCCCAATAGCCAGCGATGGTATCAGTTGGCTATATCGGGGCGCCGGAAACCACAGCCACTCGGTCTTGGAGGGGTTGAGTCTGAGCCTGTTCCTCCCCATCCAGATCCGCACGGCCTCCAGGCAATGGGACATCACGTCAAGGGCATCATTGGGGTGGTCTGGAGTAGAGATGTACAGCTGCGTGTCATCTGCATACAGTTGACACTCCACCCCAAAACCACGGATGATCTCACCCAGCGGCTTCACATAAATGTTGAACAGGAGGGGCGAGAGGACTGACCCTTGCGGCACCTCACAAGTAAGGTGCCTCGAGGTCGACCTCTGTCCCCCCGCCAACACAGACTGCGTACGGTCAGAGAGAAAGGAGGAGAAGCACCACATCACGGTGCCTCCCACTCCCAGTCCCCCCAACCGACGTAGCATGATACCATGATCGATGGTATCAAAGGCCACTGAGAGATCGAGGAGGACCAGGACTGAGGAACAACCCCTGTCCCGAGCCCTCCAGAGATCATCAACCAATGTGATCAATGCCGTTGTACAGTTCATTGTATTAACTATCTGCAGAGATAAAACTTCAATGCAAGAAGGCACCAAGAATAATTTAATCTTAAAACATTTGTGGTGATCAATAAAGTTTAATCTTATATGTAAGAATGATCCAACAAAGACAGCATTTGATGATGGAGAGTAAGATATGAGAATATTGCAAACATAGCCTTTTATTTATGACTACACACAACTGTGCTTAAAATTTATTCATACAATGAGTAGATGAAGAGGTGTAATTGTTCCTGAATAACTGTTGCAGGAAGAAAGTTGCAACCAAGTCCCACCATGAAAACCTACACCTGTGCTTTCTCATGATAGAGAACCCTCTGACCATCTTGTTTGCAGCAAATGTGTTGAATTCCACTGATTCTCTTATGGAAAGTATGTCTGAAGATAAGCCTTAAGTGACTTATTCCAAGACGTAGCCCCAATGATTTATATTGACTTTTTTCAGATTATAAATGTGAGGATGACAACAACAAAAAAAAAACCAGCACTCCAAAATTACCATGGGCATCAAGAGGATTCTTCAGCATGACTTTGGCATGATTGTACTCCATACACGCTCTGCATTCACAGAGCTATGATAAACCCAGGACATAGCTTCTTGAACATGTCACAATGGCTTGGAATAGGCTCATGTATTTATTTATTTTTAAATTTGATTTATATGCTGCCCTTCTCTGGAGACTCAGGGTGGCTTACAATGCGTTAAGCAATAGCCTTCATACTTTTGTATATTTATATAAAGTCAGTTTATTGCCCCCATAATCTGGGTCCTCATTTTACCTACCTTAGAAAGGATGGAAGGCTGAGTCAACCTTGAGCCTGGTGAGATTTGAACTTGCAGTAATTGCAGGCAGCAGACGTAAGTGGATGTTAATAACAGTGCTTTAGTCTGCTGAGCCACCAGAGCTCCTGGTGTTATTGTGTTAAATTAAAAATAGACAAACCATGGATGGATTGAGCCACACTGTTGCTTCATTCTAAAGGGCTTCTCCATTCATTCCAGTGAAAAGATACAGATCTACAAATGCTAAAGTGTGTGCCCAATGATATCCACCCAGTGAAGTAAACGAGGAAGCTGACTGTACTTATAAGCTGCGTGTGCAAATGTGGGTGTTATATTCTGTATCTAGGGAATGTCCCCATTCATTGAAATTACATGTAATATCTGTTGTCTTATAAATTGTACCTTTAAGCAATGTCAGCGTATTTCTATACAAAAAGACTCTATTGAATCCACACTTTATTCAAAGCTCCTGTTCTTTACTAGTGAGGGCCAAAACCAACACTCTCATGTATCAGGGCTGCACCACACTGGATTCAAAGATCAGCAGGTACTTTGGAGTGCAAGGAGTGCCATGTTGTAGCCCCTTCAATTAACAATTAACTGAAAGCAGTTTTGTCCTATCACAGGGTTGGGCTCCAAAGCAGAAGGCAGTTGTACATTCCAAGAGAAAGATGCATTCAGTTTAAAGAACTGCTGACAAGAGCTTGGTACACGTGTCTCTGCACTCTGAAGCTGTTTTTGGGTATGAATAAAAAACATGTTTCCTCCATATGGTGTGATTTTTAATGGCCTTAATTGAAAGCCACACTAGACATGTTTCGTATTCTTCTTTTTTTAAAAAAAAAATACAATAAATTTCTAAAGCAAATATTCAGGCATGAAAAAAAACCTTTATGGCAAACTCTCTTTGAGGGAGAAGTGTCCACACATACACACACACAGAGAGAGAGTGACTTTTACTCTGTGAATTCCAAACTGCACCTATTAGCTATTAGCCCATCTTCCGTACCTGATAACTAGGCAAGCACTGTTTACTACAACAGCACATTGCCAAGACCGATCCGGTTAGTGCTCCTGCCTAGCTATTTAAACAGTATATCAATCTGACTATATATGGAATTGCTCTGGAAGCAGAGAGCTGGGAAAGTTACATTCAGAGGGCATACAGCAGAAACACTCTCAAGCCTGTATTTAAAATAGGTTTTTAGTAGCAAAGGTCAAATAACCAGTGTGACCCACCATTTCCTTAAGTGGCACACCGCTCTTAAACTGTATAGTTTCCTGCTGAAGATTTGGACACAAGGCATCTTCAGTTGATGGGCTGCCTCCATCAACCCCAGTGCTGGAATCACCATCTGCTGTTTTTCCAAGATCAGGGATTTGCAAACTAATTGTTCGAACGTTGTACACTCTGAGCAGGATCTCTGAAGTAGTGATTTCAGTAAAGCCGTGTTCCTCCAAAGCTAAGCAGGTCCTTTGAACTTGCTCAATGCAAGGGGAAAAGGAACATATGCGTCCACCTACAACAGAATAAAGGAAGATGGTGAATGGAAAACCAGCAATTTTAAGAATTTCATCTCAATCAGAGTTCCTATAATGCTATTTAAAGCATGTTTCTGTGAACCATTTATTTCCAAAGGAGATTCATTAAAGCCAGTGGGACCACTCTTCTGAAGTAAATTATATAATGACTGTAGTTGTTGGTTTATATAAAAGGAGAGGGAACCTTGAATCTTATATCTTGCAGATGGTTGCAGGAATAGTTATGTGAAATGTGCAATTTTATGTATGGAAAAACTTCAACAGAATCAGGAATATGCAGAATTTAAATATTTATTTTAGACAGTAAGACTACACCATTGATCTGGTTAAAGGCTCCACAGAACTTAATGGTGCTTGCTGTTGAATAGGTACTGTTTGTGTGTTATTGAACCATCAATATATTTCTGCATCAACTCTATGTCTTGTGTACCTGACTGCCACAAAACTGGAACAGTCTGTACCTTATTCTTATGCCTCGCCCTTGATTTCTGCTCCAATTCTTAAATTCTTCACACAGATGTTAGCAGCTCATTAGAGGCAGTGACTTTCTCACAATGCCCTGTTGTGTTTTTCTGAGAAGCTCCTAATATCAGGTTTGAAAAAATAGTGACGATATATTTGAACATATAAAGTTCTTTTCTGCTGGGTAAATTATTTGGAGCCAGAGGAAGATGTTAAATTTGGCTCTCTGTTTGCAGTGCTTATTGACAATAGCATCTCTTCAACTATCCTCTCCAACTAAACAAAATGTTCAAATGAATTTCCATCAATCTAATATGGCTTTTTTGTTTTTCCTTGGCAGGAAGAACAGCACTGCATAACTTTCTTTGCCTTTGTGCAAATCTGACACTCTTTTACGGATTTTTCAAAGCTGCCTGTTTTAGTATCAGTGCATATATTTTGTATTAAATAAGAAATCTCCTTTAAGTCAAGGGTGACTCCTACTAACTTCACAGACTGGACCAGGTAGTTTTCTTGGCAACAATCCAGATGTTGTTTGCTACTGCTATTTGCAAGATGTTTCTTTGACTTCCCAGTTCACAGACCTGGAAGGTTTTTTGGGGGGCGGGGTGGGGATGTCTCCCATCCAATATCATTAACTCTGTTCTAACTCTATACTTTCATGAAACTGGATGTTCAATCAATCATGTCATCTTATAATCATATCAGTAGAAAGCACATTTATATAAGATATGTACAAAATTATTTTCTGGAACTAAAAATGATTGAAAATTGACAAGAGTTTACATAAGCATGGCTGGATTCAAGAAGTGGTTTCTATCTCTTAGAGGAGGAGCGTGTTGCCCTCACCTTTCTTGAAAGAGGTGTTGTGGACACTGTCAATAGAATAGAATAGAATAGAATAGAATAGAATAGAATAGAATAGAATAGAATAGAATAGCATAGCATAGCATAGCATAGCATAGCTTAGAATAGAATGGACTTTGGAGGTCTTCTAGTCCAGCCCCCTGCTCAAGGAGGAGAACCTATAATATTTCAGATAAGTGACTGTCTAGACTCTTCTTAAAACATCCAGTGATGGAGCACCCATGATTTCTGGAAGCAAGTTGTTCCACTGGTTAATTGTTCTCACTGTTTGAAAGTTTCTCCTTAATTCCAGGTTGCTTCTCTCTTTGATTAGTTTCTTGTCCTGCCCTCCGGTGTTTTGAAGAACCAGCTATGTTGGATAACTTCTGCCCTGGAAACTGCTGAAGCTGCTAATCACAGACGTGGATTATGTGGATACTTTTTAGTCAGCTTTCAGGCTTGGACACATGATTGAAATAATATTAATCTTCTGTCAGGACTTGGATAGAAAGGGTGTGCCCCTCCTGGTCCCATTAGCAGAGTTCAATATTATTGATCAAGGTATCCTTCCAACCACCTGCATGGGTTAGGGTCACTGTGGAGGTGACCCCACCGTATTCTGCTCCTATCGGAATGGCCAGCTTTTATATTGTGTAATGGAAAGAAGAAATAACTCTGAGGAACAGGAGGAAGAGTTGCAACCAAGACAATAGTCAAATAAAAGAAATCTGAGTTCTTGGCCGAAATGCAATTCGCGAAAGTATCTCAGACATGATCCTCCCCAGTTCTCATGAAAATAAAGGGAAGAACGAGGAAACCACATTCAGACTTGCAAGATACTGTTACTGTAGCTTTATAATAAAAGTGATATTAGGTTGCATGTCTTTGTTTATAAATCTGGTCTATCTTGGTGAGCTGATCTACTGGGAGAACATTTAGCATCTGTGTTTGTTTCAAAATCGAGTATTTCAGGGCTTGGTGTTTTCTTCAATATTATGCAACTTCTATATGAGACTACTGGGAGAGGTAACTGATGATACTCAATTATACATTGCCAATGCAGGCTCAGCTAGAGAACAGATACATGACTTGGGACTCATATCTCCTGGCTGAATGGCAGCAGAACATAATGGTTGCTGGACCTCTGCTTAGTTTTGGATAGCACAATAGTTACAGACTTACTTAGATCAGAATGACTTGGTGATGGTAATTTATGCCCAGACCAGTACAATATGGTCTATGGCTGACTGCAGGGGTGAAATCCAGCAGGTTCTGACAGATTCTGGAGAACCGGTAGCAGAAATTTTGAGCGGTTTGGAGAACAGGTAGTGGAAATTTTGAGCAGTTTGGAGAAGCGGCAGTGGAAATTTTGAGTAGTTCAGAGAACCGGCAAATGCCACCTCTGGCTGGCCCCAGAGTGGGGTGGGAATGGAGATTTTGCAATATCCTTCCCCCTGGAGTGGGGTGGGAATGGAGATTTTGCAGTATCTTTCCCCTGCCACGCCCACCAAGCCATGCCCACAGAACCAGTAATAAAAAAATTTGGATTTCACCACTAGCTGACTGTCATTGGCAGACTGTTCAGCCAGACTGCAAGCATGAGAAACCTGAAATGGAATGTGTGGATGACCTTGGGGTAAGAAGGGAAGAAATGCTCTCTAGGAAACAACTGGGCAAGAGACACAGGAGCCCCCAGTGGCTTAACAGAAAAAGAAATTTAGGAAGGACCCTCCCTAATGAATCAAGCAATAAAAATGGCAAGGGAAGCTTATACTTTCAGATTTGCAAGATTCTGTTAAAGTAGCCTTAAAATCAAATAGAATCAGTTCATCTAGTCATATTTCCTGTTTGGTTTATTTGAGAGAACTGCCATCAATCTTGTACATCTAAAACTGCAAGTTTCCTGTCCCCACTTTTAATACTTGATCCATTGCGGCGGGGGCTTCCTAAGTTTCTCTCTCTGATTGTTAAGCCACTGGTGGGGGGAGGGGTCCTGCCTCTCTTGTCTGATTGGTTTCCTAGGCAGCATCTGTTCCCTTTATTCCTCAATTACAAAATCTGAGGCTGCAAGGTGACATCTATCTCAATGTCTTTCAGTAGGCTTCTGGACCCAAGGGGTAATCCTACTCAGTATGATTCTGCTTGTCTTGACTCGACATGTTAAATGGATTTTCTCAAGATCCCTCCCCTATCAGAAGTAAGAGAGGCTGGGAGACAGGCTTTCTCTGTGGTGGCACCCATATAACGAAGTATACTACTTTTATTTTTAGAATGGCTGCTGTGCTGCTGCCACTCATGACTGCGTGACTGTAACTTGTTGCTTATATCCTTGCGATTTATATTGATATTGTTTCCTAGTATGATTTGATTACTTATTGTACCGTATGACTGTCACTGGGTGTTGTACCTTGTGATTCTTGACGAGTGTATCTTGTCTTTTTATATACACTGAGAACATATGCACCAAAGGCAAATTCCTTGTGTGTCCAATCACACTTGGCCAATAAAGAATTATATTCAATTCTATATACTATATACTGTATGAATGATCTCCAAGATATACCTGACCTCTTCTTCTGTAATTTTGGAAAACATTAAAACATGCTTTTTCAACAGACTATTGGCTCCTAATGATGAACAATGGGCAACTGTTTTATTGACCAATATGATTAGCATTTTAAAGAAGGTGAGAGTAGAGTTATTAGTCTATATCGATGATTTTTATTGATGACTTAATTCAACACCCAGAGTTGGTTGACTAGGATAATTAAAAAATGTGGTTAATAAACAAAATGTCGGAGGTATCTCAGAGAAATTATTACTTTTATAAGTTCATTAATGTTAATTTGAATGCCAATGGCTTATGAAAGCAAGACAGATAGTTCATAATTAAGTGTTCCTAGGTCTACTCATTCCTCTGGTAATTAATGCCAAAGAAAAAAGAAAAAAAGACAGGAGATACAAAAATAAATAGTTGATAAAGTCTTGACCAGAAGGTTTACATTATGCAGTAGAACAGAATTAGAGGAACAAGAGAAGAAATGAAGAAAGTGCTTGTTTAAGAAACTGTTTTTGGAGGGGGAAAAAGATATTAAGTTTAATTTTGTTTACATTCTTATTTTTCCAAACTTAAGTTTATGTTGTCTATTTCTGCACCAATTTGAAAAAAGAACCTGCTTAAATCATATTTATATTTCTCCTAAAAGGAACATATACATGTTATGTTATGTTAAATTCAAAAAGGTGTCAGTTTTAAAGCATAACTACATTTCAGACTAAACAGTAATTTCAAAATGCAAATTATATTCACATTAAAATGGTAACTCCCCATCCCTTTTGAAGACAGGTTAGATGTAACTTCATTCTGCTTAACACAGATGTGTAGAAGAAAGTATTATGTCATTCTAGAATGCAGTTAAGGGATCTTTTAATATAAATAATATAAAATACAATATTTTAGATTTAAGTTCATTTTCAAAGAGAAAATAGGCAGCCAGGACTGGTTGAGCTATTACGGTATATTAGTTTTATTTTCTCTGAGACAACACAGCATTTAAAGATCTGTTCCTCCCCAGTCTAAATCAGATTAGACCAATATAGTACTCCAGGATTCTATAATTTTATGACTTGGCTGGAGACAGGATATTTCAAGTATGACAAGCAATAGAGC